TATACGTTCTGTTTTTTGTGTTTTTGTTTTTGTTTTTGTTTTTTTTTGAGAGAGAGTATGTCCACACTGCAGTCCCTTCTCCTCCATTCTCCTCTTAGGATTTTGGTCATGCATGCACATGTGCACCTGGCATGAGTGTTAAGCCACTGGGTCCAGGACTTGAACTGCACTCGACTATGTGGGAGTCCAGTGATGAAACCACTGCAACATCTGCTGGTCCCTCCATATTCTATCTTTTAATAAACCTCTTTCCTGAAATATTACATATGTACATAAAAGCTCATAAGCTTTAAGCTCCATGTATTTTCCCAAAGTGTAACACGGGCAACCACCATTCAGATCAAGATACAGAGCATTACTAGCTTTCTGGAGCCTTCCTCAGCCCTTTCCTAGCTACTACCCCTCATCTCAACCCAAAAGGCAACCACTCCCTCTACTTCTGACACTGTAGATCAATTTTGCATGTTTTGTGCTCTCTTTTTTTCACTCATGTTTCCGTTCAAGAGCTTTGTCATTTTTTTCTGCGTAGCAGTGGTTCATTTTTATTCCAGTGTATAAATATTATGAATAATGATGCCATGATTATTCTTGCACATGCCCTTTGGTGCACAAATGACAGCATTCCTATTTGCTATATGTCTAGGAGTGGAATCTGGGTTATAGGATTCTTAATAGTAAATTACTATGGTTTGAATGTCCCCTCTAAACTTTATGTGTTGAAACTACGTTGTATTGTCAAGGTGCTAAGAACAAACTTTTTTTTTTTGAGAGGTTTTTACTGTAGGGTGCGTGTGCTTGCCAGACAGAGAGAGACAGAGAGACAGAAAGGGAGAAATCACCCCCCAGGGGGGATGGCCACGCCGCAGTCCCTTCTCCTCTGTTCTCCTCCTGGGATCTTGGGCACGCACGCACACGCGCCTGGTGTGAGTTTTAAGCCACCGGGTCCGGGATGCAAACTGTGGTCAACTACGTGGGAGTCCAGCGACATAGCCATTATGCTAACTGCTGGTCCCCCTAAGAGCAAACTTAACAAATACCTTCATGGTGTTGAAAGGTGGGACCTTTAGGACTGATTAGGGCAGGGCCCCCATATTTGACTCCCAGTGGGCTTATAAGGCAAGGAAGTGAGACAGAGACTCAGCGACAGAGACCATCTGCTCTGCCATTGCCTTCCCCTCATAATGTGATGCCTTGGGATTTTGTAAAACCACCACCGCATGTGCTTTGAATTGTGAAGCCTGAAAATTTGTGAGCTGAGTAAAATCTGTTTTAATAAATTGCCTACTTTCCGGTATGCTTAATTGCAACAGAATAGGCTATAACATTATGTTTGGTACATGTGAAAATTCTAACCTCTTCTCATCCTTGCAAACAGTTAATGACTGCAGTGTTTCATTGTAGTTTTAGTTCCCAGTGACTGAGATGGAGCACTTGCTTTTGAATTGACCATTTAGATAGCCTCCTTTGTGATGTGCCTGTTCAAGTACATATCCAATTTTCTGTAGTGTTGCTTTAAATAAATACTGATTTGTAGAAGTTCTAAATATATTTGACTGTGAGACCTTTGTTGAGTATACGTGTTTCAAATATCTTCTATTTGTGGGTTTTATTTTGATTCTTTTTGTAGTGTGTTTTGAGGAACAGAGTTTGCAGTTATAATGTAATAAGTTTGGCTTATCAGTATGGTAATTTTTCTTTTTAAGAATTAATTTATTTATTGTTCTTATTTGTTTTAATTTGGCCAGAGAAAGACAAAGAGAGAGAGAGAGACAGAAAGTGAGAAAGCAAGCTGCCAGGTCCAAGACTCAAATTGTGGTTAGCCGTGTGGGGGTCCAGTGTCTTTACCCACTGTGTCACCTGCTGACCCCACAGTATGGTGATTTTTTTCTATCTTCCTTGAGGAATCTTGGTCAAATCTACTGTCATGAAATTTTCTCTTATTTTACTTTCTCAGTGCTTTTTGTCTTTCCTTTCACATCACTGTCCATTATTTATGCACCTTTTCCCCCTGTAGATACTCAGTTTCACCACTACCAGTATTGAAGTGACTATCCGTTCTTTCTTGTTCCAGTGTTAACCTTTGTCATAAATCAAAACTTTGGGTTTGTTCTGGATTCTCTGTTTTGTTTCACTGGTGTGTTTATCCTTGTGCAAAATACTGAAGTGCCTTTAATCATTTCAGGCTTATAAACAGTCTTATTTTCAAGAGGGTAAGTGCTTCTTTTTATCCCCCGTCAAATGTGGTAAAATTATTAGACTACTTCCTCTGTTTCTGTTTTCTGTATTGCAGTACTAGTAAGAGGGAAGTATCCAATTCAGAGTAGAAATACTGACAAGTATTATCAGATAGTCATTGGGGATCCAAGAACTAAAATATTCTGGTCTTTTCATTTCTTCATTTGATGTTAGTTTTTTTTTGTTTGTTTTTTTTGAGAGGTTTTTGCTATAGGGCACGTGTGCTCGCCAGATAGAGAGACAGAAAGTGAGAAATCACCCCCCAGGGGGGGATGACCACGCCGCAATCCCTTCTCCTCCATTCTCCTCTCGGGATCTTGGTCACGCACGCACACGCACCCGGTGTGAGTTTTAAGCCACTGGGTCCGGGACGCGAACCGCAGTCGACTATGTGGGAGTCTAGTGACATAGCCATTACGCTAACTGCTGGTCCCTTGACGTTAGATTTTTTAGAAACAGCTTGAATTCCTCTGGGCCCCTGAGATGTTGTGCTGTACCATTTAATTGAGTATGCTGAACAGTGAAGCCACCTAATTTAACATTGTCTTAGTCCATTTTATAATGCTATACCAAAATACACACAGATTGGGTCATTTATTAAAAAAAAAAAAAAAATTTTTTTCCTCATGGTTTTGGAGGCTGGGAAGTTTAAGATTAACGTGCCAGCAAATTAGGGCCTAGTCTCTCTGTGTCCAGGATGGAGCCTTGAACATTGCTTCCTCTGGAGAGGAGGAGTATTGAATCTTCACCTGGTGGAAAAACAGGAGAGAATGAGCCCGATCCTGCTAGCCCTTTTAGTAGCAGCTTTAATCGTTTATGAGGGCTCCACTTCCCAATACTGAGGCATTGAGGATTAAGATTCAACATGCCTCCTGGCAGGGACAAAAACATTTAAGGCATATAAACATACATGTTTATTTTTATGTCAAGAACTGTGAAGAGTGGGATTTTTACCCTATTTGCTTGCAAGCTAACAAATTTCATGTATGCTTGCAAAAGAACGTAGTATTTCCTAGGTCAAAGTCAAAGACCAGACTATTACAGCAATATTACTGTAGAAATAGCTAGTAGTAATATTACTAGAGAAGGAGCTAGAGTAGCAGCATTTGAGCCACTTTCCTGAGCTTCAGATTTCACAGAGGCACAGAAAGAGCTAGGTGATACCTGAGTCCATGCAAGGTCACATTGCAGGAGGGGAACGTTGAACTTAGAGAACCTGAATCTTTTATAACAGACCGAAGCATGTTCGTCTCTTGCTTTGGAGGGAACTCTAGGTTCCTTCAAAAGATAGCCTGGAACCAAAGAGGCAGTGAGAGTTTCTGCCCTGAATAGCAGAAATGTGAGAAATGTGAAGAACTGCTTAACATTTTGAAAAACCAAATGGGTACTTATAAGACAGGCTTAAATAAGTGATGTACAGATTTTAAATAGACTATTTTTGGAGTGTCTTTTACTACTTACTGTTTTTTTTAGTAGTGAAAGATACTTAGCCCTCTGTTTCTGGGAGTTTGGGTCTGTCTTTCTTGCATCAGAGCTTCAGTTTTTCTATAAAATTTCAGATAAGTGGAAGCAAGAAAAATGATGAAATGGTATAATTTTAATTAAACTTCATTGAAGCATGTTTTGGACCAAAGAGGTTGAATGATATAAGCTACTTTGTATCCAGGGAAACTTCAGATATTCAGATTGAATTTCTAAGAGGTCTCTGAGACTAAAATTCTTGGCAGTAGATCTTCATTGTCCACTGGAATATAAGTGTATTACCTTGTTAAAAAGAACCCTAATGCAGGGAGCACACGGGGATTTTACTGCCTTTTTGTCTAGAGGTAGATGTCACAGATCACAGGGCTCTAAGGTCTCATAAGCTGAAATTGGGAAGAGGGAGTTAGGACATTGTCTTGATAGTGTTTAAACTTCAAGCAAATAGCGGAAAACAAACGTAGCATCTTTAACTTCTTTATTTACCACCTTTTTGGCTCCTTTAACATGTTATTGTTCTGATCCTACTCCTCCATCTCTTTCTGTTCTCTTTTTCTTCTTAAAGCATCACTTTTTTCTGTGCTTTCAAAATTATGAGCCTTCCTAAGATTGAAACTTCTTGTCTCATTCTTCCATCTGAGGTTTCTCTGTCGCCTCTCTGTAGGTGAGTCTGTTTACTCAGATAACATCAGACCTCATGTGTGTACGCACCTCTGAAGTCTTCTTTCTTGCATTCTAAAACAGTCTTTCCAACTGCCAATTGAGCATCTCCTTTCATATGTTCTCCCTGTACTTCACAAACCTCGTGACTCTGGTTTGCATGTATTCATAAAAAGGACAAGGTTGAAAGACATACCAGTTCAATATTTTATTGGATGGTTGGAAAAGTCATGACATATTTTTTCTGTTTTTCTAAACAAAAATGCTTATGATTTTTCTGACATCCCAATACTTCTTTAAAAGAAGTGACCCAAATATATTATTTTAATAAACCTTTGTGGTATTTTTTAATGGATATTATTTTGTAAGTTCTCTTTCAGGTTTGGCTGCCTTTCTTTCATATTTAATATCAACTTGTCCAATTTCTGCTGCCAAAATTAAGTACTTGGATATTTGTCTTTGTCCTTTATATTCGTATTCCTTCTCCATTTATCCCACCAGCACAGTATATTTTAATTGGTATAGCGTACATGGGTTTTGGCTTCTTAAATTTTTAGTTATTGGTGATGGTTCTGCCTGCATTTTTGGAGTAAAAGAGAAATCTTATGTTATTTTTCTCTTTCCAGGTCTTTGTGCCTTGAGGAGAGTTCTGAAGAAACAACCTCATCTCCCTGATAGCAAGGTGGCCAGTTTGGTGAAGATTACTCTGAAAGATTTCTTGCAGGGAATGAATGACATCAGGCCCAGTGCCATGAGGGAGGTAGCAATAGATGTTCCAAATGTAAGTAACTCACACATTGTAGTAACTAAACTCTTTGGTTTAAATGCTGGGAAAAAACTGAGACCACAGGGAGACTGACTTCGTAGACTTTTTGTTTGTTTGTTTTGGTTATTGCTATAGGACGGGTATGCTTGTTGGAGAAAGAAAACAAGAAAGAGAGAACTTACCCTGCAGGGGAGATGGCCATGCTGCAGTCCCTTCTCCATTCTCCTCTTGGGATTTTGGACAGGGGGGAGATGGCCATACCACAATCCCTTCTCCATTCTCCCCTTGGGATTTTGGGCCACATGTCCTTGCACACTGGGTGTATGTTCATGCCCATAGCCTTGAGAGAAAAGTGGAGGAGAAAGGATTGTGGCATGGCCATAGTCCCCAGGGGTGATTTCACGTTTTCTAGTTTTCCATATCTCCGATGAGCACATGTGCCCTATAACAACAACAACAACAACAAAACAAAACAAAAAATCTACTTTTAGCATGTTTCAAGTATACAGTACAGTTTTTTTTTTTTCTTTTTCCCCCCAGATTTTTGCTATAGAGCATGTGCGCTTACCAGAGAGACAGAAAGTAAGAAATCATAAGAAATCATCCCGGGGGGGGGGGGGGGGGCCAACACCCAACCCCGCCGGGGGGGGGGGGGGGGGTTTGGCCATACCTCAATCCCGTCTCCTCCAGTCTCCTCTCAGGATTTTGGGCACACACGGACACGTGCTCCCAGTCTGAGTTTCTAGCCGCTGGACCTGGGACTCAAACCTCAGTCAACTACGTGAGAGTCCAATAATGTGACTATTACACCGTCTGCTGGCCCTATACAATACAGTATTATTAACCATTGTCACCAAGCTGTACATTGGATCTCCAGAACTATTCATCCTCTCTAACTGAATTTTTATACCCTTTGACTATTATCTGTCCATGTCCCACTCTGCAGCTTCTTGTATTCACTATTCTATTCTGTTTTTCTGTGAGCTCAACTTTTTTTGTTTCAACGTATGAATGAGATCTTGCAATATTTATCTTTCTGTTCACTTGCCATAATATCCCCCACATTTAGTCATGTTATTTTATATCACAGTTCTTTTTTAAAGCCTGAATAATATCCTAAGAGGAGGCTTTAAAACATACATGGAAAATGCCTATGATGAAAAAGAAAAAAAAAACTATTGATGGATTTCACAATTATTTTGCCCCCAAATAAATGTATTTTTAAATTCCATTAAAAAAGTTTCTTGTATTGAAGTCCTCTTATATATTTTGTATATTAACCCCTTATTTGATGTTTTGTTTGCTGATATTTTCTCCTGTCCTATATGTTGTCTCATTATTCTGTTTATTGATTTTTTTTGCTACGTAGAAAGTTTTTAGTTTGATGTACTCCCATTTGTCTAACTTTGCTCTTGTGCTTTCTTTGCTTGTGCCCAAAACATGATTACAGACCAGTGTCAAGAAGGTTTCTCTCTAAGTTACTTCTAGTAGTTTTAGTTTCAAGTTTTATGTTTAAGTCTTTTATCCATTTTTATTTTTATTTTTCTTCTTTTTTTTGTACATAGTATTAGACAGCTGGCCAATTTCACTCTTCCACATTTGAATATCCAGTTTTCCCAGCATCAGTTATTGAGGAGAATTTCCTGTTGGCACTTTTGTTGAAGCTTGGTTAATTGTACATGTGTGGATGTATTCTAGGCCATCTTCTATTTCATTTGTTTGTATGTCTGTTTTTATCCAGTATCATGGTGTTTTGATTAACATAGCTTTATAGAGTATTTTGGAATCAAATGATGTAATACCTCCATTTTGTGTTTTTTGTTTTGTTTTGTTTTTGTGTGTGTGTGTGCGTGTGTTTGTCATTATTACTCTGGGCATTTGTATTTCCATGTGAATTTTAAGATTTAAAAAAAAATTTTTTGTGGTAAAGTACATTGAAATTTTGATATAATTGTACTATGTAGACCATTTTTGCATAGTATGGACTTTTTTAATTAAAGAATTATTTTGGGGAAATCATTTAATTTTATTTTTAAATTGTTTTTCACATTCAATCACTGTATATTTTTACAGTATATAAAATGAATTTTCCCAGCATGAATATACTATATGTTAATCTAGTCAAAAATATTACTATACACCTTATCAACAAGTATTTTTACATTTTTGTGTTCCTTAAATGTTTTGCTTCTTTTTTCCCATTGAGTTCCTCCCTCCCACCACCCCACCCTACCCCACCCTCATTTGTCTTCCTTCTCCCACACTGTCTCTAGTATCCACAGTTGCTTTCCATGGTTTTATACTTTGCAGTGTTTCATTTTCTGCCTTAGAATGCAGCCATTCGCTATATATTAAGTGGGAACATATAGTACCTCTCTTTCATAGTCTGGCTTAAGGAACCTTCCCAAATTCATTTTATGAAGCCTTCATCTCCCTGATCTACAAAATAGACAAAGACATAACAGAAAAAGACAGCTATAGAACAGTATATCCGGCAAATATAGATGAAAAATTCTCAACAAAATACCAGCAAATCATGTCCAACAACACATTAAAACAATTGCATATCACAACCAGGTAGGCTTTCTTTCAGGGTTGCAAGGCGAGTCGACATATGCAAAAACCATAAATGTAATATATACCATATTAACAGAAGGAAAGATAACCATATGATAATATCAATCCATGCAGAAAAAGCATTTGATAAAATACAACATCCCTCATGATTAAGACTCGATAAATTCAGCATAGGAGGGATATTTCTCAACCGAATAAAAGCCATCTATGAAAAACCCATATCCAGCAACATATTGACCACTAAACACTGGAAAAAGATAAGCTGTCCACGTTCTCATTTCCTTTTCAGTATAGTACTGGAAGTCCTAGCCAATGCAGTCTGACAAGAGAATAAAAGGCGTTCAAATAGGGAAAAGGGAAAGAAGTGAAATTTTATTTCCAGGTCACATGACTATATACATAGAAAACCCAAAAGGATCCACAAAAACTCCTGGAAGTGATAAATGAACACAGCTAAGTGGCAAGATACAAAATCAACATACGAAAATGGGTAGCATTTCTATAATCAATTAGCAGACTGACATAGTATGGACATTTTAACAATATGCACTTTAATTCATGAACACAGAGTATTATTTCATTTATTTGTGTTAACCGCAATATCTTTCTGTCAACATTTTAGAGTTTTCAGCAGACAGATCTCTCATTTCTTGGTGAAATTTTCTCTAAATATTTTTTGTTTATAGTATCGTAAATGAAATTTTTTTCTTGAGTTTTTAAAAATTTTGTTGTTAGTGTATTAAAAATTATACTGATGCAGGTTGATTTAAGGGTGGACTCAGGATTTCTCTGCATTGTGTTCCCTGGGCTTGGACATGGTGGGTGTTTAAGAATTGAATATACAGTAAGGTTTTAAACTTAAAGTTACTGCCAATGGAGAATGTGTTTAAACAGTGTCTGTCCACTCTTGGAATTGCTAAACTGATTTATTCATCATAGGAACTGGTACTGTAACTCTATTTTTAATTGCTCTAATGAAAGATTTTTTTCCTTTATTTTCTTTTGATACAGTATTTACAATCTATGGACTTGTGCCATTTTCCACTTGGCATTTTATTATTTGGCCTAAGACCATGGTGTACTGTGATGTTACTCATGAGCTCTGGGGTGATTAACGTTGGTGAAAAATCTTTCTTACACTGCATTTTATGCTCACTTCAGATTGTAAAAGTTTCCCTGAGAAGTCAACATTTCTATAATTGGGTTCCTGAAATGAGTTTTCTGATTTTTGGCTATTATATCTACAAAAATATCCCCAAATTATTTTTGCAGAAGTTTAATACTTTTTTGCTATAGAAACCTGCTTCAAGTGAATAGTTAATTGTGAGCATTTTAAAAATAGTAAATTGGGCATTCAGCATCTTTTAATTATTTTACTGTGTGAAATTAAAACTAAGTAACATTGCCTAGTTACAGTTAAATTTGAAAGAAAAGTCCTAAGATGGAAATGTTGCCAATTATAATATAATGTAATGTATTATTAATTTTAGGAGACCACTAGTTTTTGCCACTGGTTTAAATGTAATATTTCCTTATTTGGAAATTCTGAATTAGTGATTATAGTGACTTTAAAGGCAAATGCATTTTTTAAAAAATTGCAGGAATCCTTAGAATTTATAAATATAATAATATATTCACTGTGAAATTAGAATTTTCTTACCCAGAGATAACATTGGTTAATAGTTCATTATAACTCCTATATAGGTTTTTTTTCTATGTCTTTACATATTTTTATGTAGTTAATCTTAGGAAATACATAGTTTTTATATTTCTGCTTTCTTACTTAAAATTTCTTATGTAGTAAAATTTTACTTTGAGATTTGTTGGCAAACTTCTTTGTAAATGACTTAATAGATATTTTTATGGATAAACTTATTTTTAATCCTTCTACCATTTTCAACTACATCTGCTTTTTAGGTTTGTTTTTGATACTATTATTATATTTCTTCCAAATATTTGTATTTATGTTTTCTAAAAGTAGAGTTACTAGACTAAAATATGTCATCTTTAGAGTGTGTGACAAATATCACTAAATTTTTGTTTTTTTGTTTTTAAAAAGGTTCACATTTATAATTATATGATAAAAACTTAAAATTATGATAAGCATAAGCAGCACTCATTTTGCTTTAGTTTCTTTTTACTTTTCACTAGACTTTATTTCTTGATCAAAAAGATCTTTATTAGGAATGATTGTGAATACTCTTGAGACAAATACAGATTATAGGGCCAGCCTGTGACATGGTGATTAATGCAGCTGGATCCCACATGGCCAAATATGCGGTTCAAGTCCTGGGCCCAGCAGTTTGAAAAACATGCTGGGCATGTGTGCATGTGTGCCAAAAATTCCAAGAGAAGTGGAGAAGGGATTGTGGTCATTCCCCCTGGGGGTGATTTCTCACTTTTCTCTTCTCTGTGTCTCTCTAATAAGTCCGTGTGCC